CAATGTATAGTCTGACGTGCAGCCGTGTGTACCTTAAAATATAGTAGCTATCTAAATTACTTCTTTATTGTCAACAGGTACAGCAAATGTTGATTTTGCATCGAAGCATCATACACAACACTTGGAAAATAGAAAAGTAGGTCCATATCACATATTATTATTATCAGACTAATAATGTCGCCATTAGTGGGATATAGGACTTCCTTATACTTATGGAAGGAGAATTATAACCACAAGTGCCCAGTGCGGATTAGTGGGTGTTAATGACATATATTAATATAGGATCAACGAGTTGACGTGCCTTGCGACGTACGGAGGAATTCTAGATAGTTAATTTTTGATCACCCTTCCTATGACCTGCCCTTGCGAAAGATGCTCAACATCTTGGGGGCGAACTGCGCGGTGTATGGCCTCCGGGCTGATCCCGCGCCTCGCCCACCATGAGAGGGACATCGCTGAGTTTTAGTGGGTAAACTTCTGTTTCTTGTCTAGCCCTCTTTTGGGGGTGGGGCCACAGGAGGAGTCCCACATCACCCGTGGAGCCCGCGCAGGGCGAAGCGGGTATGCGTAAAGCATTTCTCAGCGTCAAAAAAAAAAAAAAGATGCTCAACATCTGCATTGCAAAAATAACGCATTTACCAAAGTGCTATCAAGCTACTCCACTACCGCATATTATATGACTTAATTGTTTTTTCTGTTTTACCGTGTATAAAGAATAATGCACTCGATAATCAAAAACGTATTATTGAAGAAAAATTAAGTAATAAATATTAATTTATAAACAGGAAAACTGTTATAAAAAGTTGAAATTATTTTAAATATCTTTTTTTATTACAGGCGGATGATTCGAGAATGTCAACGGCACATACGTCCGATTCCGACACGGAACACAGCGACAGTGATATCGACATCGTCGGTGAAACTAATTATTCCCAACACTATCGCGGAGAAACTTAAAATAATTACGGAATACTTTCATTCCTTTCACAAAGTGGCACAAACGTCCGTCGAATTGACATTAGTTTATTTGTTCTGAATTCCTTTGCTTGTCCTAAAAATTTTAAACTATAAACTTTTTGGCCGTCCCAATAGACGAAACAAACTACTACTATAATACTTGTCATTATTTGATCAATTTCATTTTGCTCAGTGGTTGGAATTAGGTAGAGTTATTCATGTACTTACACTGATTTCATACAGCGAAAGAATAAAGTGGATATGCCTCAAATCCCGAGATTAATTTTAAAGAGCAGAAAAAAACCCGTGATTTTTATATAAAAAGTTATTTACTTTTACACAATTTAAACTACTGCACGCACGACGTTGCCAAACTTACATCAATGAAAGAAAGAAATAAGGAAAGAAGAAATAAAGAAATCCCGGGATGGTCCACATTAATATCAACATTTCGATGCATGTACATAAATAACTCTACCTAATTCCGACCTCTGTATACTGAAAAATACTTGATAAATTCCATTTGTCGCTGGTACTCTGAGATGGGATTCGAACCCACGACAAAAAATTCGACAGTCGTGTTAGATCGTGGGTAGCTCAGTGGTTAGAGCAGTCGCTCGGTTTGTGGAAGGTCGTGGGTTTGAGTCCCATTTCAAAGTGCCAGGGACAAAGTGGATTTTTTAAGCATTAAGATTATATGTCATTAAGAATATTTTTCTGTATACTTGTCATTAATTTTAAAGTGACATCAACAATAAAATTATTAATTTAGAACATTAATTTCCTTTTAAAGACGTCATTAAACTATAATGGACGTTTGTGCAACTGTGTGTTTTGTTTATTAGCTTAATACAATATACTTATCGATCTGTAATTGACACATGGTGTTTTTTAAATTTTATTTTGTAAAAAGTATATTTTAAGCACATTTTCAGAATTTTATTTTGTTCTTTATTTATATCATAACTGAATTATTATTTTATTTATTGTTTACACGGTGTAAGTATTAAGATATATAGTAATTTATTTTTAAATAGAATGATAGTCTTTTATTATTATTTTAAATAGATAATAATGTTAGTGAGTAATTTAGTCGAATCAAATCTAATAAGTGCAATAATAGTGTATTTGTACAATATAAAAAATTAACCGAGTGTATCTAGTCGTTTTGTATTGATTCTAGTCGAGTAAATTTAGCATAAATAAAAGAATGTTTGATCATGCGGTAGAGATATTTTTATTTATTTTATTGTCATAGAGAGTGTTTTTAATTAACCGATAAAAGGACAATGCTCAAGGGAAAAAAACCCAGCCCGGCGCAAACATTAATGTTAAAGATCTTGCACTTAGAAGTGTATATTATTACAAACAAAACGTAGTCATTCTAATTCTATTTTGACAGGATCAACATTAAAAAAATAAAAGGTAAAGAAAAACAAAACGATGGTTTATTTTAATATTTTATTGATATCAATGTCTACAACTACATCATCCAAATATAAAACAGGTTTATTAAAATGTTCTTGATGTCTAGCTCATTCCAAGTAATACACTACGTTCATAACATGGGCGCAATCCATGTTCGTTTACCTTAAATACAAGAACATTGATAATCAGATATGGCAATGTAACTATTTTCTCTTTTATAAAAGAACGTACGTGTAATATATCCTGCTTCTCACATACCACAATTGATTAACTATTCCAATGGATTACCTCAGCATGTCGAAAATTTTCAAATATCATAGACTCGTGTACGCATTACGTGCTTACTGCATTAAGACTCATATCCATTGTTTCTTTCCTCTCTAAATCGTCTTTTGCCAATTTACGGTCTTTCTAAATCAAAATCGCCTCCTTTACCCTTTTCAATCTGGTTTTCGTACAGACCACAGCACAAATACTGCATTGGTTAAGGTTACAAATGAATCCGACGTGGGATGGAGAATCACCAGTTGACTTTGTTGACGTTGCTCGATTTCAACAAATTCGCTTAATTACGACATCCTCCTTGGCGCGTTGGAATCCTGATCTTGAAGAATCAGCATTCCTGTTCAGGAAACGGAACACGGACGACAAATATGCTAGGCTTACAGTCAAGTTGAAAACAAAATTTTTTGATAACAAGATTTTATGTTGATACCGATTGTAGCAAAAGCGCTTTTACTACAAGGAATTCAAAATATATTTCTAATGTAAACAAAATATAACATCAGCACAAAGAACGGTTCTATTATGTATTATAAGCGGCCAGTTAAATAATATTATTAGAAATTGTAAATACAGTATCTTGAGAAGTAGTAATGTAAGTATCCTTTGTATAAAATAAATGAATTTCAAAATAAATTTTATTTTATTTTTATGTCTCTTCTGAAAATGATTTCGTTTGCGATTGATTATGCAACTACATTGTATCGTGTAATGCATACCAAAACTAGGGCTGCCAGATCCATTCTGATAATTTCCTGGACAATTCTGGTGCCACGAACAGAATCAGAGGTATGGTCTCCGGTCTGGGACTAAACTAAGTAGGAATTACCTAAAACTATTGGTTTATGAAAAAATAAAATACTGTTTTTGTGGAAAAAACTTTAAATTACTTTCTTAAACTATTAAATGCAAAAACAAATAATTCACCTTTTTTAGGCTTAAATATTGACATGAATAATTTGTGAAAAAAATACTTGTATTTTTCCATTCCGGGACAGCACAGTAAACATAATGGACCCGGGACAACACGTAAAATTCCGGGATAATCCAGGAAATCCCAGCTATCTGGCAATCCTAACCCAAACGTCAGTCCGTCCGTCCGTCACCAGGCTGACTCATGAACCATGATAGCTAGACAGTTGAAATTTTCAGAGAGAACTGAGGTTTCCATAAACAAACGTGATTTTTTTATAGATAAGGGTATGCAACCCATTGTGCGCGAGTCCATCCTGCACCTGGCCAGTTTTTTACCTTTTTTCATAGCTTACTATCATCACAATCTAATGCAGTATTTGATTTAGATTAATGGAATATGAGTCTAGTCGGCTTACTAGCTAATAATCTTTAGAATACGGTCCTATAAAATAATGAATTATAGATATCAATGTAGGGCAAGAGGGCGCACATTCTATATAAATCTCTTGAAAATCAATAAAAGAAATCGCACCCATGCTGGGAAAACCTGTTAATTGAACATTTTTACACGATTCGGCAGAAAATAACAAGCTGCTGCAAAAACAAGTCTTTGATTTGGTTCTAAGTTTTTTCATGAATAGGGATAACGTAATCTTTTTTTTATTAGTTAACTGAATACAGTTAACTAATAAGAGGAAATATCCTCAAATGCCTAGTTAGCTTTAGTTTTAGAAATAGCCTTTTTGTTTATTTTCGATTCGTTTTTATTACATTTTAATTTATTCAAACTTTACAGAGAAATTGGAATCTATCAAAATTATTAAATAATAAAACAAGAACATTGTATTAGAATATCTTAAATAAATTATTTTTTAGAGTCGTAGTTAGTGAGTTAGGAGGCCGGATTTGCCTACGAAGCATAACGAATTCGAGACACTCGAGAAACGCGGAAAAAAAAATGGAGCGGTGCTGGATGTATAAAATGGCTGTCGCAGTGAAATGGTAAAGTATTTACGCCGTTTACAATATAATATATTTTATGGGTAGTTAGTTACAGAGTTAAAAGTTATTTAACGTTTCGTCTTACACGAGCCTATTTCAAAGTATCCGAATAGAATGCAACGCAACTGTGATAAAAATTTACTACTTTATTTATTGCCTCATACCAATGTGAAAAAATATATTTCATAGTTTAATATTACTGGCACAAACTATCAAACAAAACTGAAACGTTAGAAAAGTACATATTAAAATAATGGGGGTATTGATGTTGTTATTTATAACAGCGGTAAGTTCATCTTATATGCAAATCCATAAAAAACACCATCTTAGAGTGACATACGGTACGCCTGACATAAACAACGAATACCCTTTTGTGGTATCGCTACAGACTAAGCACCTTAATCGATATTGCACAGGTTCTCTCATCGCTGAACGTTGGGTACTAACTGCATTTCATTGCTTAGAAAACGTGTATATGATTAGATTTGGAAACATTAGTGTGCCTAATGAAAAAGCAACGTATCGGAAAATACTTAAAACTTTCCCTCATCCAAATAGCCGTGAAGCAGATTTAAGCTATGGCTTTGTTATAATAAATGATATTGGATTAGTGTTGATAGAGCCATTGAAGGGAATAAAGACGCCGAAACTATTGGCTGTCGACTACATGGCACTAATTGGATTACCAGTCAAGTATGCAGGTTTTGGATCGACTTATAACTCTTCTATGGAAGACGCAAGTGAGGCTGAAAGGCTCGATGAACTAAAACCGTTACAAATTGGAGAGGGCGTGGTAGTGCGCTGCGAAAAAGATAAAGATTGGATCCCTTCTATATGCGTGGTTCCAAAATGTTCAAATAAACATGCTGATGTGCGAGGTGGTGATTCAGGAGGACCCATCTTCTTTAAAGATAAAATAGTGGCTGTGGTAAGCGGTAGATCATCTACTCCTTCAGACTCAAGATATACACCTGTCAGTCAGTCTCTCGATTGGATAAATACAGTTATTGGACAAAATTAAATATTAGTTGAAGTGCCTGCTAGATTTATTCTAGAAGTAAATACAAGTGACCTGCGGCTTCGCCCTTGTGATTAAGGGGAAAAAAAGCCTCGGTTGCACTATAATGTCAGTTTATGGTTGATGATATCACGCTGACTTTGACATTGACAATGGAATGCGTTGCACTATCCTATTTCTTGCATAGTAAAAGAATAACTTTAATTGTTAAAGTATATTGGTACAACTAACCCTTAGAGTTGTGTTACATACATTCTAAGTAAATTTAGCTAACAGTCAACTTATCCTAATTTATTTGCCTTTGACATAAAGTATATTTTGCTTTGTGAAAAATTTAATGTAAAGAAAATTATTGAATTTATTGCGAATATGCTGATGCGTGTCCTAATTATGAAGTAAATAATGAAAATAAAATGCAAAACTTTATAAATATTTTAACATTTAAAGTTGCTTGCTCGATTTAGTTGCGTGAAGTAATAAAGGGGAAAAATAAATATGTCTGATCAGAAACAGCACGGAGAGCTATTCTAAAAGTTAGGGACTGCCCGCATCGCGAATTTATTATCGCAATTCTGTAACACATCGAATCATATAGGAATATCCGCACTTATGGAAAAAAAATACGTTTACTTAACTACAGATTTTCGCGATTGCTTAGTCGTGCACCAGCTCTAGCGGTAGGAAGATGTTACGCGGTTCGTCTCCCGTCTACTCAAGGGCCACCGAAAATGATGAAATTGATATTGTAATGTTTATAATGCTTATTCAAAATATTTTTAATGCTTAGACGAATTTCAGGCAAACTGCCATGATAGGCTTGATTGAAAACGAGGTTGTGGGAAGAAATATACATTGAATTGAATCAAACAAACTAATCAATTAAAATTTTTCTGTAGTACATTTTTAGGATTCCGTCACTAAGGCTTCGCTGTCTGTCTATCTCCAGGCTGTTTCTCATAAATTGAGAAAATTAGACAGTTGAAATTTTCTCAAATACTAAAAACGAGTATAAAATATTGTTACGGGTTCGATGCTTGGGTCAATTAATAAGGCTGATCAGCTTGAGTATAATTTATTAATGAAATAAGGGTAATAATAAAAAACCCTTGTCGGGCTTCTTGTTACACTTTTGGATCGTACAAAATACAGTTTTAATTTAGTAAATATGTTATATTATTGTATCACCATAATATATGAATTATTAAAATTACATAGTAAAATTTATACCAATAATATTGTATTATATTATAATTTCATCTTGTGTAAAGGAGAATTTCTTACGAACTGACATCCATAAAGAGTAAAATTGATTAGTCAAAATTTTAAATTACGAAAGACGAATAGTAAAATGAAATGATGTTGAATTTCAAAAGCAAAAAGTTTGCATACTGAAACCTAGGAAAACAAACGGTGGCATGGCACACCGTTACAATATATATTTAAGAGGCCCCTATACAACAAAAGTGATTATATTAGATTGTATAAGACGGGTATTAACACGATAAAATTTCGATCGGAATTTGAATCGCGATGAGGACAGTCCCTTAGTGCTAATATGTCAGTGGCTTAATTGTCTAATTTCATAACCTACCGCAATCCCATTCGAAAATATAACGACTGTGATAGCGATTTATAGAATTATGTAACGTTAAAAGTCGTAATAGCTTTCGGAAAAAAATATAATTTGAATGATCAAGAAACAATAAAAACTTACTAATTTAAAGTTAAATTAACAACAGTAATCAATTTTAATTTGACAATTTGGGATGTATTGTATGTTAGTAAGAAAACTTTTACCCTATCGTTAACACTGAGAAAATACTCCCCATTCAGCTCATAAATCACAATGGAAGTTCGCATCACCCAATCCTTTAAGTACAAGCCTATCACATAGATTTTATTTCCTTTTTGGGAAATTATCTGTATAACACAATCAATAGTAAATTGTCCATCTTTTTATTGACACAATTTAACTGTAACCAAAAAATTTTCTTATCTTATTAGAGCTATCATATGATGATACAAAGAAGTTGCTAATACCTCTAAAATAAATTATAGGTACCATAGATTAAATGTATTGTTTTACTGTACTTGTAAACATTAAGATAAGGGTGTGAGATAATTTGAATAATCATAAGATAAACGATTGTGTTTGTACTACGTACATCTTATATTTGCATCTTAAGGAACTACATCTAGTTGCTGTGAAGCGACTTCGCATATGTAAATTATAGCCTATGTCGAGCCCCTATGATGAGGCTTACCGTAGGTGAAAGAATTTTTAAAATCGGAGCGACAGTTTGGAAGCCTATTTGACGCAAACAAACAAACATACAAACAAACAACCACATCTTTTATTTTTATAATATTAGTATAGATATATTCGGTCGTGGGGTGGAAGGAACCCGGTGATTTGTTATTTCAGGCTAAGCCTATTTTAGACACCAGTCTCACACAAGTAAATAGTCTGTAATAATATATATGAACACATAGTGACGTATGTGAATTTGTGAGGAGAAATAAAGATGTTTGTTTATTATTATTATCTTTCACTAATAACTTAATAACATGTAAATCAACTATCTACTACTTTTATGGATATCAGATCAAACGAAGCAACTTTTACACTCGGGTACAATCAAGTCTCAGTTATTTGACTGCAGACTATAAAGAACACGACACAACACTCAAAAACACACAAAATATAGCATGTCAATTAGAAATAGGTGTAAGTCCAAGTTCCAGTGCAAAATTGGTGCAAAAGATGTTGGTTGTTGTGGAATATTGTCTGAATTAGATACTAGAGAATCTAGCTACAATGAATAAATACCTTCCTGCGTCTTTATTATTTGCACTACTAACGAATAAAGGGTTATTTCATACGTATTGTATACAATCGCAAATTTTAAATACAAAATATCTAAATTAAATACAGAATCCCATGTTAGCGATCGTCTGCCTTCTTTTTACTGAATAAATACTTAAAACTTTTAATCGGGACGTAAAGTCAAAAGACCATCCTTGTCTTGCATTGCGGCAAAAACGGTATTTCGAAACACGGAGGAATGCAGGTTAATAAATTTTTGGTCATCCATCCTATGACTAGTCCTAGCGAAATTTACTTAAATTCCGCAGCGCACACCCAATACACCATCGGGTGAGGAGCCAAGCACCAATAACCAATTATGTCCAATAACTGCTCTGCAAATTAAGTTCACACGAACAATTTGCTGCCGATTCAAGAATTATTTCTGCCCCCAACTTATTGTATATGTAATTATTTCATAACAACATTTATCAAAAGGGAATGTATGGCGAAATTGGAAGAATTGTATCGTAACGAATAACCGTAAATATTTATAGAACTGTGCGCGTGCCAGTTAATTTTTGAAATAAGTCGTCAAATTGGGGATGAAATTGGGGATGAAATTGGTGAGTTCATTGTGTTGCACGTGTTTTGAATACCGTTTATAAATGGATTCTCTAAATAAATAAAAATATTATATAAGAATAATAAATTAATTCTTTAATAAAAAAGTCGACTCATAACTAAAATTAATTTGCATTTGATTAATTTTGCATTCACAATGCTATAGTAATATTTATATAAAAGAAAAATGTTAAAAAATTCACCGGTATAAGGAGGCTTACTTTATTCAAGACTAATCAAGGATACGCATTTTTCGATAATTTATGACGAAGGTAGGACCTGACACTGCTTCTAATGTACAATATTTATATCGAAATTTAACGAAATCTCGAAATTTTAAACGTGTATTTTATTAATGTGTATATTATATATAATGCTAGATAGGTATAACCTCAATGAATTGCAATACTATCCGCAAAGTTGTTTCACCCTATTTATAGCAAAAAATAATTTGAATTTAAATTTCGTAATCTGCGGCGATATTATCAATAGAAGGGGTGTGGTTTTTTATCATGATAACGTAAGACCTCACATATTTTGCCACTTAGAAAAGTAAAGAGAGTTTGACTGGGAGGTGTAAATGCAACCACCGTATAGTCTTGAGTTTGCACCTTCAGATTTTCATCTGTTTCGGTCTTTTCAGAATTGAATTCCAAATGTTTTGAATTTTCACATAAAATGCAAATAAACTTTTTCCCTTTCCTATTAGATAATGTGATAAAAATAAAATTGTACCAACAGATGTTTTAATGACAGTAGCAACTTTTCCAAAAAATCTATCGAATTCTTTTTTAAAGGGTTCTTTTTACGGTGTAATGCAATAGACATCTAAAAAGGTGCTTTCAAAGGTCGTGTTAAAAGCTATCATTGCGTCACCTGTTTGAAGTCACCGGAAAAATCTGGATAGAATAGAAAGGGACAATTAAGCGCTGTACGCGAGAAAGAACAATGAAGCTTTAAAATAATGTATGATAATATTATATTGGATATTAATCGCTTTCATATCTAGGTATATATTAGAATTTTTTATTGGTATTTTGGTACTTTCTCACATACTTCGTGACAAAAGTGCATGTATGGTATTTTATATTGTAAAATTTTTTTTCGGAGCACATCCATAAATTTCCAGAATTTAGCAATCACAACATGCTTTTGAAAAGTTCTGGTACCACGCACATGTATGTAGTATCCAATGCTATAAATATTTGCGCCGCTACCACGCCGCCGCCGCACCGCATGAAAAAGCTTTTAGAGTATTCCATAAAATAACATCAGGATTTATCTAACTTATTTAAACTTACTGATTAATTGCTGTTGCTAAAATATTCTGTAGATTCTATAAGTTTTTCTACTAATTTTTTAATTTAATTTGCGAAGTTATTGTTATCCAAGAGACGATTTGGAAAAAACCTAACACTAAAATACATAGGTACTTCATTTTGCATAAAGCCATTCCTAATACTATAAAATTACTACAGTGGGGCTTTGTTATGAAATTAAAAGAGTTGTTAGATATCACCCTTGCTAAATACAATATGGCTAGCATTGCTCCCAATGTAATTATTTTCTCCCT